TTGGTTACATTATATTTAAAACAAAACTGTGAACAAAAAAATTATTATACATTTTTTTTTGTAGATCTAAGTAGTTTGCAGATATTTTTAATTTATTCTACTGTGTCCTAAGCATACTTTAAATAAAAATAATCACTGAAAGTGACTAATTTTTTTTTCTTTGAAATACGATTAAAAAGTAAATGCCCAAATGATTTTACAAAGAATTTAGTAGCCTGAAAATTCTAGGAATTTTAATGATAATACTTTCCTCTATATCCGCCATTCATCGACATATATTTATTCCAGTTCAGTGATTTTTTGCATTTAGTTAGTTTAATCACTACCCTTTTATAAAAATATTTTCAGAAATATTTGAAATTATGTGATATATTTTTTTAAGTTTCAGTACCTTTGAAACTTAAAATTTTCGAAAAGAAAAAGTAAAATTAAAACAATAAGATCAAGATTACATTAAAACGCAATATTCTGTTTCATCGGTTGTGATTGGTGTAACTTTTCACGATATTCTATTCAACCAATTATCGATCGCATTATCTCGAGCGTATACGTAACGGTTTGTCATTGTTCATTGTAAACGATTATTTAATAGTGGTGACACCAAAGTTTAGGGAGTTTTTGTTACCAGCACCAATCGTGCATTGCTGGTTTGTTTAAGCTCAGCAGTCACGTGGCTTGTAAAGATTTCTGAAGGCTCTGTACTTACGTTTATTTTACTTAGATACAGCACACATCTGAATAAATAAACTTTCCTTTTTCCAAAAATAATATTAAGTAGAAGAATATAAACCATCAGAAAACATTACTTTATTGCATACCTTTATATACTAGCTACTGTTGACTGAAATGAACTATATTTATTTATCGCAGATATAATCTGAACGACATTAACCTTTATCGACTGAAATTTTGATTAGTAACTCTGCTGGGCGTAGAGCCAACGTTTTGATTGTGTGTTTACCTTAACAGGAAGGACGTGACAACCTTTTACCAAGGAAATTTTTGTTCTCTTCGAAGAAACTGGGATTCAGAAATAGAAAGTTCAGTGACTTGTGTATAAATAAAATTGCAAGTAATAGGTATAATTTATTTTTGAAATATTAATATCTTCATCTTTTACAAGTTTTGCAGAATTAGCAAGTCACTTTATTAAATGTTGTTAGTACCTTCTTAAGCAGGTTCGGATGCTACGAAAAAATGCAACCAATTTCGAATTATTGAGATATATTATTTATGCAATGCGAAATTCTGTCAATTATTCTCGAATTATTTATCGATTTGTTTTTGTTTTTAATTATGGGAAGTGCTATGATGCATACCCTTACAATCTAATTACGGATGAAAAAAATACAAATGGTAAGACGAAAAAAATATAGACAATTACCTGAATAGATGAGAGAAAGAAAAAAATAGGTTACCGTACATTTCACAGATAAATAAATTATCAAACATTACTGATTTGTCGTCCGCTTAGTAATAAACGGGAAGGAGTAACGGCAACAGCGCAATAAAGTATGAGTGGGGATAGGTGACAGGAAATTTAAATTTTCGATACAGAAATTAGTCATTAGAATTTGGAATAATAAAATAAAATGAGAAAGTTTCCAATGAAGTATGTTTTTTGAAACCTTTTTTATTTATAATGTAGGATAAACTTTCAATACATGAAGTAAAAAATACAGCAGCATATAAACAATGAAATATTTATACATTGCATCACAGTGCATTAGCAATCTTATGCATTTTGATAAATTGACATTTTTAATATCATTTTTCATTTTAAAATTAACATTTCAATAATTTCAGTATATTTTTTAGAATATTTTTGGCTGCAGTAACATGGGATCACAATATAATACTACATATATCAAATTCTGTTATACTTTCATAAATGCAATCGCTTTAAACCCTTGTCTTATAAGGAACATTTGTACTCATAGAAGTGCATCATAGTATGCTACTTATGCATGTAACTAAATCATATTTCACCTTTTCCACGCTAATCACTTCGTAATCACAGTTTGTAGGTAATCTAAAATACGTAAAAGTTCTTTGAAAAAAGAGCAGTGCACGCTTTGTGCCATGTACTCTGTGTCTATTAGTTGATGTCCTCGAACGGTGTGCGGAGGTTCTGACTCCACAATCTTCACTTCAACAGCTTTTTTCCTGTTTTTGCTCTTTTCTGTTCTAATTTTTAAGCACATCTGTTCTTCATTCGACATTTTATAGGTTAAAACAATCAGGTATGCGAGCGATCACAGCGTCGTATAAATGCTTTTTCATGTACAAACAAATAACATTCGCACACTTAGGAAGTGTGTGCAGGTGGAATGTGCCCATATTAAAAATGTATTTTGATGGTTTTCTTTCTTTTAAATTATTTTTTTAACTTACTTTAACTTATTCTTGTTTTGTTTTTCTACTTTGTGTTATGTGTAAAGTGTGTTTGTCAAATTTTGTTAGTGAAAATTGCATTAACACACAGTACGATTTTCTAGGCTCTCACAAATATTTCCTATACGGTTAGTTTTACCAAGAGGGGTATTGTCGTTGGCAAATTCTTGAGAAAACTTATTTTTGATACAGGCAGATTGCGATCGTCATCTATGCAAAAATTCTGGTTTGTTAACCATTAGGCATGGTCCGTCCCTGGCGTTCTGGGCATAATGAAGTTTCACTTAAGTACATCAAACAATACACATGTGTTATCGATCACCAAATTTGCATCATGCTGAAGTTAATAGTTTAGAGACTGTAATTAAAAATAACTTCTCAATTTTCACTTTTGAGGGCCCGTAACTTGTTAACGAAGGTCTGTATGAAAAAAAATTATATGAAGAACTGATATTATGTTGAGCTCATCTATTTGTACTCGCCTTTTTTTTTTGTATCAAATACCGGGACAACCTGTATAATTATAAGTATTTTAAACTCGATTCTATTCAATATCTACACGTAACTATCTCTATCTACTTACTTTCTAGACAAAAATAATATTTTTCTTTGCATTGGCAGCAATGATTATTTAACATGGTAAGTATAGCCCCATAGTAAGTATAGTTGGCCAAAAGGCAAAATCTTTAGAAATCGATCTGAAATTTGTTACTCGGGGGTTTTTGGGGTCGCTGATAACGAATTTGAAGTCAGAATTACAAAATTCAATGTGGAGGATTTAATATAGCCACATCAGAAGTAGAAATATTTTGTAAATAGTGATTTTCCGAGTCGTAGATTAAGAATAAAAAGATTATAAAATACAAAATGGTTATAATATGGTTAACATAAGAAATACAGCAAATAAAAAATTGTTAATTAAAAGTTGTTTATTTACAATAATTATTTCAAACGAAATATAATTTCAGTATTCTTTTTAATTAACAATTACAATAATGTCGCATTTATCAAGCATGAAGAAGATGTAAAAATGACAATCGATATTAAACTATTCATATATTGCGTTAATTAAAGTATCAGTAATCATTTATTTGAATCTCGTGCCAAAGTTTAATATAAAATTCCAATTTTTTTCAGAAAAGAAAATAATCATCATCAAATGAAAAATCTGCATTTGCAGCATCCGTCGAAACTTCTGAAGTTGAAAGAATTTCTTCTTTATCTGCAATCTTCCCATGTCTTACTTCGTCCAGAGAAGGCGAAATTCATTTTACTCTACATTTTACAAAAACCTATACAAAAAGTTGTTAGGCACTTATAGGCAGCAGATTCTTTTTTATTTTACAGATAATAGTTTTGTCTTTTTTTGTCCAATCTTTTTAAATCACGGCCAACAACGATTTTGATTTGATAAATTTGATTCGTAGCCCTGTAACTACGAATTTTACTTTAGAAAAATAATATTGGTAGTCGATTCTTATAGAATAGTTTTTACTTTAATTGTAACTCATTTAAGGACGGAGATCAAAAGTGGTGAAAAATAAGAAGATTAATATCGTAGGGGACGTTTTAGGAAATAATATTTTTTTTTTGCTTTACTTTGTTTATTTTAGGAGGTTGCTACTCAAAGTTTATCGCAACATCACTGTGACTTCTTCTTCTTCTAGTGGTTACTCCTAATAAGTCCCATAGCACTGCGGCCTAATTAGGCCTATTGTGCGTCCCACTACTAGTCCTATTCAGCAAGTAGATTTGTCCTTTTACAAAGTCCAAAAGCTTCCTTTCTGACACTTTTCTCAGTTCCTTGGATTCCAAATAGGGTCTCCCAAGGAGCGCCATTCTGCTACGTGCAAATCCCAGGCACTCGCCCAGGATATGCAGAGAAGTTTCATCCGCCGATTCACATCCTCGGCAGACCGGACTGTCTACAAGGTTTAGCTTATGTAGATGTTTCCTAAAGTGACAAAGCCCAGTAAATCATTCGCTCTTTCCTTCGAAGGATACTCCATGAGCTTCTTAGAATGGCTATGTCCTGGCCTTGAAGTCCAGTATTTCCTGTGTTCTGTCTCAGTTCATTTGCCCAGAGCCCGCCTGACCACACTGGGAGATGTGCCACAAAAGGGCTCCGGGCCTATGAATGTGTTTCAGATCCCTTCCTAGCAAGTTCATCCGCTTACTCATTTCCACAAATGCCTTTGTGCCCTGGCAGCCAACACAGTCTGGCTGTATTGTTGGTGCCAGTTCAGTCAGCATTTGTAAACAATCCCACACCAGTTTCGAACTTATCTTCTGTGTGCCTAAAGTTTTAATTGCAGCTTGACTATCAGAGAATATATATATGAGTTTACGTCTATAACCTCTACGTACATTCTCTGCCAGACACGCCATTGTCGCGAAAATTTCTGCTTGGAATACGGTAGGGAACTCCCCCAGCAACATCACTGTAACACCCTGTATAGAAACCGAACAGACAAATACAATGCATAATAAAGCATCTCCGTAAACTAAAACATCACGCTCTTCATTTAGCGCGTCTATTCATATCCTGTACGGGATAATTCGTGTTGCGAATAAACGAAATTAAATTCTATTTCGTCAAATTCCAGGTGAGAACGAGCTGAAATTCACGGCTCTCCCCAGGGGCTTCTGCTCCAATTGCTGTCCAGTCAAAGTTTACCGAGACATACGTTTCGTGCTCTACACCAGGACGAACCCAAATAAAGGAGTAGCTATCGAGCCGTTGAGGCCAGGGGCGGCACGCAGAGCCGGGCTTGATGAGACTCTGCCTACGGTTATATTCGTACACGGATTTTCAGAGGTCTCGCCAGGACAGAGTGGAAGAAATGTTCTTGATGGTAAGTGGTCAAAAATGCAGTCGTACATCCTTAGAATAAAAAAAGTAATTTTTTCGATAAATTTACTTTTCTAATAAAGTATAAAGTTAAAAAAGTTTAGATTACAAAAAAGTGATTGACTCTGTATCTTATACATACATGGTTTAATAATAACTAATAATAAAATATGTACATGATATCCAGGGAGGGCACAAGTCCCAAACCTTTCATTGCTGTGAGATGGTAACCAAAACCACCGCTGTACTTTACCGATTTAGGGGCGAGCTGCGAGGAGTAGTCACTGTTTTTCAAATGAATTTTGCGTCGAGTTAAATTGACTGCACATTACCAACTTAACATTTTCTTTTCAATGTTTTTCATAATGCTAATCTATTTAATAATCTAGATAATATTGTAAACTAAACCTTACATTATTTTTTTAATATGAAAATTACTAGGGGGCTGTGCCCCAGATCCCCCACACTGCACTAGCCACCACTGATGATATCTCCAACTAAGAAAGCAGATAAACGAAAACAAATTTTAAACCGGCAAAGATATTTCAAATAGAACTAAAATTATGTCACAGATAAATAATTTTAGACAATATCTTTGCAAACAAAACCTTTGATAAAAGCTTAATATTTAAACCGAATATACAACATTATTGAAATTCTTTCTTAAAAAATTATGGGTATTTGTATTCTCTATTTGACTTTTTTAAGACATTTCAATTAAATTTGTTATATTGGCGTTTTTGGAGTTGCCGAAGATGAGTTTATTGTTTAAGTGAAACATAGAGGTTGCTAAAATACCTGAAACTTGTTACATCTCGCTATAGTTTTTGATAAAATTTATTATAATTTTGATACTACAATTGAGTACCTATCTAGTGGTATTCTAATTTAATCAACCTGAATTTTTGTTTCTAAATTTATGAATAACGTAAATATTTTTTATGATTTAGTCCACCTTCCCCCATTCAAAGTCGACTCCTTCTGAGATATAATCCTGTGACATTTTAATAGGGATAAGTTGGTATAAATCCTATTTCAATTTTGAAATTAAACAAGAAAGTTTAAAGAAAGTTTGTTTAAAAAACAAAAAAGACGAAATTGTTCAATAAAATTAAAAAACATATGCATTTATTTACAACTCAAGAGTAGGTACGCAGATATTGTCTTTGTATATGGGTTTCCAATGTAAACGCCAGACAAGCAGCCTCAGAATACCGACGAAGATATCCAAATAGACATCAAACTAACCACGCAGTCTTTAGTGCATAATTTCGTAAACTTCGAGGAAAGGGTAATACTGCTCCAGAAAAGGCCATTCGTCCTACTGGAATGGATCAACGTCAACAATGTCCAATGCATGTCCACCGCGTTCCCCTGATCTAAATCCTTTGGACTTTTTTTATGGGGACATATGAAGCAGCTTGCCCACCATATTGAAAACACTACCCGTCAGCAGTTACTTGAAAGAATTCAGGATACAGCTTACCAGATAAGAAAAGATGCAAATCTCATCCGCTGAGTGACGGAATCTTTAGTTCGCCGATGTGAGGCTTGCATTCGAACCAAGGGTGGGCATTTTGAACACTTTTTATGGTATTAAGATTTGTTAATTTGGTTACTAAAGGTTAAGCTTTGAACACAAGTAATAATTATTGTTATAGCAACCACCATTTTTAATCAGGCTACTTTGATTGAAATATGATATTACATTTTTTTAAATACTTGTAAATTATAAACAAAAACGAATTGGACCTATATTCATATAAGAAAAAATATCTCTCAAAATCGCAAAAAAAACATATAAGATAAAATCAGATTTGTCCAGAAATATTCCATAACCTTTCTTATCTTTTGTTTTTTGATTTGGTAATAGGCATAAAATCATTTAAAAAAACGGTGCAATGTATTTTAATATAAACATAAGGAATCAAAAATACAGTAACTTAAACAATCAGTCAATCAAATTAGACACAGTCAAATTCGTCGCCTTGTTTTTGATGGCCCTAGGCAGTCACTTTCGTTGCTCTCTTCGCCGTCGCCGTCTTCGTCCCCTATAGGTAGGTACTGCAGTATTGGTGGACCGTCAGGGTTGTCTTAAGGCTCGTCATCGTCGTCCTCTTCAATGATGATAAGGGCAGCGTTCTGGCACGTTCTCCCAGAGCACGTAGCACACATCACAGAACATCTGAGCCCTGCTTTGAGACAAGTGCAGCCACCTCTGTACCTCTTATTGCATTTGCAAGAGAGTAGTTTTAGGAGTTCTGCGGGGGCAGGAGCTTGCCGACTAGTAATGGGGATGAGTCCAGCCGAGGTCAATTTCCAACTCCAGTTGGTGGCCTCTTTCTCCACCTCCAATCACTTTTGCACCTGATGGTATGTGCGGTAGTGATGATACGACGCAGCCTCTGTGGTTGGGGGCAAACGGGCCAGATTCGCTTTGGCGTTGGCTGCAGTCTTCACAAAAGTACGGAAGCGTACATCGTTGGGTGTCTTTCGTTTCGTCTCCTCCATATAGGACAACTAGCCACTTGTCACCGGCTGCTGCGACTTGTTGGTGTGTGGCATCTGTCTGGAGGAAAACATTTGCTTGGTCTACTAGGGCTTGATTTTGTCTGAAGTGGCCCCACATTTTCATCTTCCCTGCCAGAAGAGGGCAGAGGTGGTGTCGCACCCAGTAAATGCGTGGATGAAAAGTGCAAGTCCAGGTGGTAGCTCCACTTCCCCTTGGTTGAATGAGCTGGTGGAGAATTGGACGCAACCCGCCTCACCTCTGCCACTCTTCAGGAAGTATACGTTTGTTTTATTGGATCCTAGACCGCAGAGGAGCACGAGCAAATCCACATCCTCTCCAAAGATGATGACGTGGTCATTGGAGATACTTTTTTTTATATCGCGGTCTGCATCTTCTTTTGATATTTTTGTCTCAATCCTCTCGAGAGCAAAAGCAGAACAGAGAAGCTCAATGAGACGAACCTTGTTTTCGTCATTCGAGAGCATCTTCTCTTGGGGGACTGCGATAATGGTCGATGCGTCAAACACAAATAACAAATACCGTCGTGATCGCTCTGCAAATTTGGTACTCTTTTGGGCGCCATCTTCAGGATACCCGTCAAAGACTACACACATTTCTCCCCTTTTTTGCTCACATTAGCTTGTTGACTAATAATCTTGGTACCTACCTACAATCTATTCAACTTACATACCTCATATATGATTATAACACGTTCTGCTTGTTTAAATCTCACTTCATGCAACAAAAAGTTAGGCACCTTTCTGGAAAAATGTGATTTTACCTTATATGTTTTTTTTTGCGATTTTGAGAGAACTACGAGGCTTACAGACCCCGCTCTGCGCTTAATTTAAAGGTAATGAAATTGGCTACAAATTATATTCTACAAGTTCTACTCGTAGAATCAATGGTTACGACGCAATTTCGGTCCAAAGAAGGTCTAAAACTAAAATTTAAAATTTTTAGAAAAACTGGCCTATTTTCAAAGTGTCGTAATTCGGTAACCAATTGACCTACAAAGCTTCGGTTAGGCTTAATTTGTCACAAATTTGATGCTCTTAAAAAGCGTATAGAGTAGCTTTCAACGAAAAATGCATGGACTAGGAGATATAGAGCAGAATCTTAAACAAGTCCAAAAATTTCGCGATTTTTGGTGTGTAAAAATTTTTCCACAACTTTTTGAGAGTTGCAAACTTGGGTATATATAGCCCTAATGGGTCCAAACAACATACTAAAAAATCAGAGATGCATCATGTTTTGCGAATTTATTGTCGATTTTGACCGGCCTAATATCGCTATCAGTTAAAACATTAACAACAAAAGATGTCTTTTAAATAAATGGAGTACATTTCAAATAACACATTTTTAGTTAATAAAAATAAGTGTACTACGAGTAAGTATTTATAAACAAAAAGTTCAAAATTTGAATGTGAACTTTTTGCTGATAATTTACGTTAATTCGGTTATAGATAATATATTAAAAATATTACACGCAGTTTCACTCATTGTCAGAAGTTGGAAATCTTTTCCCAAGCAATTTCTTTTCTCACCAAAAAATAAATCTGTCCTTAGAATCAATACCCCGGTTGGTTTCATTTCGGTGATTTTTCGTTTTCTGTACCCTTTTCTTTATCCTCGGCCCGAAGAAATTTATCACTCACGTCCATCCATCTCGGACCCTTTCTCGCGTAGACTGAAGTGTACTGAATGTATTTTATAATACCATATATCACGACACGAGCTGAACTTTGCAATTAAGATGTGTATCTTAGCCTTGTACTGGATATATTACATTGCTCTTTTACCGGGTAACTTACAGAATTCCCGTTGAAGATTTCGTCTTTAAAAATAAAAATTATAAACATCATTTACAGCTATCACAATGTAAAATTTTCCAATTGCCAATTTATGCAAATCGTTCAAGTTAACAACGAATAATTTTATTGAATTCATTATGGCTGTTGGGAAATTGATGTATTCATTTGGCACCGTGGATTAATTTATTTTATGGTTTTATAGGATTTAATAGTCACGTTAAAAATTACAAATTAAAATCAGATAACTGTTTGTTACTGTTTCTATTATTTATTTATAAGTAGGTACAATGCGTCTTCATAAATTGATTATATCAAATATAAAATTGCTTTAAAACAATGATCAGATAGTCGTTTAGTATTAAAAGGTTCTCAGTTTTTTTTTGTCAAAAAAATATATATACAAAGTGTCCCAACTAGAAAATGTGATGCCATCGATGATTTTTTAAATCACCTACACTAGTAGGTGATTTAAAAATCATCATTATCATATCAAAAATTAATTCCTGGTCATTCCCAAGATACAGCGACTTAACATTCAGAGTATATTTTTTAATTACTGAACAATTATGTTAAACATGTTTCTTCATCTTCGTAGTCGAAATACCTTTATAAATACCCAAGAGAATATCATCAATTTTTTTACTTTTATTTTTTACTTATTAGTTTTTCTTCGTTCATTGTGCGCTGGGCGAGAGTCTGAAAATACTAAGCTCGATATTGTTGTGAGATACTGTTCTAAATAATCCGAGAGCCCGCAGCACATTTTAGTGAACAATGGAACTAAGGTTGATTTTCATCCATATGTTCCTAAGGTTTCTTATAAGCGAAAGACCTTCAGCTGCCGCTCTTCGAGTGGAGGTGGGCGTAATAGGGCCACTACCGCGTTAAAAAATGTAAAAAAATTATTAGTACCAAAGCTGAAATTGTTTGTATACTTTGTTTATAACAATAAATGATAAAAAATCACGTTCAGCTGAAAAAATGTCGGTGGAAAACGCTTCAGCTGCGCGTATTATAATTGATGTACATACATCAGCACTGCTATATGAAATACAGATCAACTGCTAGTAATTTAATTAATATCGCCCAGTAAGTCAAGTGAACGTTGTTGTATACTTTCAGAAAGCATTTGATTCTGTATCACATGATTCCATTTTATACAAACTTAAAAATGATTTTGGATTTCATGACAATCTTATTAAATTAACTTATGAGTAAAGGAAAACAATATGTGTCTATATGTGGTTATCTACTCATTTCATGGCTTTATCCGGTGTCCCTCAGGGTTCTAATCTTGGGCCTCTACTATTTCTAATTTAATTAACAGTCTAGCAGAAATTATTATTACTTCATCATAATATTTACTTTTTGCAGATGATTTGAAAATATATAGTAAAGTCGATAATTAGTTACATACAAATCACTTTAAAATGACTTAAATAAAATATATCAATGGACATGTGAGAATTTGTTAGATTTTAATATAAAATAATGTCTTATGGCAAGAAAAAGAACCCTACAATGTACAAATTAAAATAAATAATATACCGCTATCCAGGATTGAAACAATGAGAGATTTGGGCATAACTTTTGATACAAAGCTTAATTTTAATAGTCAAATATATTGCATGATAAGTAAAGCTATGAAAATATATGGATTTAGAATACGTGATACTAAAATGTTTACTAATCTAAATGCTATTAGACAGTTGTAGGTATATATCCTACGTTAGATCACAGCTAGAGTATTGTTCAGTCATTTGGAGTACATTTTATACTATATACTATACAGATGCAGTGGAGAGGGTGCAAAATAAACTATTAATTTTTCTATACTACAAGGAGATTAATTTATATGATAGAGTAGAAGGAAATCTGATCATATTATACAGGGTGTCTTGCATAAGAACCAACACAGGGCAGGTGCATATAGGGGTGTCCAAAATTTTGTAATTTAACCAAACTTACCTATATACAAATTTGCACCCCTGAGGAGTTATTAGCCCCAAAGTGGGGCCCTAAATTTCGAAAAAAATTAATATCTCTGCAACACTTTACCGTAGAAGAACCAAATTTAGTACATGAATTATTACTGGTCTTCTTTGACTATGATTTAAAGTTAATTGAAGCACTACAAGGTGTTCATTGGGGATGACTCACCACTAAAATTGTACCGAACTTTATTTTCATTGACCGAATTGAAAAATAGTAATAATAATTCACAGCAGAATTTAATTTAAAATTTTTTTTTACTATTGTTAAATTTTAAAAAACTTTATGGTTTTCAAGAATGATGGTCCTGGAGAGACGAAACTTTATATATAAAAATTGATTATGCCATTCGATAGAGGGCAAAAAGTGGCCATGAGAAAGTGTTCCTCTTTTTTCTATACCACCTCAAATAAGGCTGAAATGAAACAAAAACGAATTTCCAAAATTTTTGTTTTTTTTTCAAATATTTCGGAAACTAATCATGTTAGCCTTGATTTTTTAGAGGCATAATGTGGGCCCCTGTTAAAGCAACTTTGCCCCCATTTAAGCTAGTTTGTATCTCTTACCGTTTACGAGATCCCTGTAGTGAGAAGCGAATTTGTAACAGCCTGTATATTTGGTAGTATAGAATATAAGGATATAGTTTTTCACATTGTTTTGCACTAACATTCGTTATTTGAGCTTAAGCATGGAATTAACCCCCTCGTAGGGGTGGGTGTGAATATAGTTTGCATATACATATTTGTATCCAATGCACAAAATATTATTTTAAGATGTTTTCTCAAAGTATTTACAAATTGTTGTTTTACCTTATCCTTACAATTTCACACTATTTTAGGAGATATTGTAGCGTTTTACTGAAAAATGACCTGGTAAATCAGTTTTTGGGCTGCAGATTCGGATTCAGCATCAAAAAGTAGATTTATTCGGAAGAAACAGTTAAAAGTTTGCCAGATTATAGAAGTAATTCAAATGATATAAACATTTTTTTCTACAACATTCGGTTAGAGTACATGTTGTATATAAGACCTTTTATAATACCATAATCAAAATTTGACAATTAATTTTAATTCTTTATTTCAGTTTAGCACAGTTTCGGAAGAAACAACAAATTTTTTAAATTAAAAATTAAAACATTTGCTACCGAACCATAAGAAGTTTAACAGCATTTTCCAAATTCGTTTGTTGACTATATTTCAAGACTTTTTTCTTTTACTTTTGTGGACTGCTTCCGTAAATTTAATTAATACCATTGTTCAAATAAAATTTATGTATGTAGGAATACATATATTTTTCCAATATCGCACAATAATTTCTGCAAAATTTGTGAATATTTTCAAAATCTTTGTGGAAAATCTGCAAAATTTTTAAATAGCAAAATAAAAAGTGAATGTATTTAACAAAATTGTAGTAAAGTTAAATACATTTCAAATACAATTTATTGGTAATGTGTGACACGAATTGTAGTTACCCTATTTTCTATATAAATTACAGTCAACAGTACTACAACTGTGTAAATTTTTAATATATTTTCTGTGTAAACATAGAAGAACTGTGACAAACTGATTTAATTTTGTTGATTTATATGTTTCAAGAGTAACGGACTGCTACTCAAAATAACGTTTTTTATATAGCCCATCTAGAGAGGTTTTATTTTTATATTGGCGTATTTTCAGCATATTTGAACAGAACGGAAAAATTCAACCTAATCCTTCTCGACTGGTCCGAACTGGGAACTTTCCCCTGGTACAGAACGGCGGTGATGAATGTGAAATACGTAGGAACGAGGCTGAAGCAATTTATCGAAATGTACAGCGACAGTGGTGAAATGCCCGTGGAAAATTTGCACATCATCGGTTTCAGTCTGGGCTGCCATGTTGCGGGAATCGCAGGGAAACTTATTCGACCGGACCTGAGAATACCCAGGATAACAGCGCTTGATCCTGCTCTGCCAGAGTTTTCCTTGAATGGTAATTGTTTCATTTACTGCTATTTTAAGGTTCCGGTGCATGTTTTTGGCAAACGTTTCGAAAATGCAGGGAATAAGAATGTCTTTGTATCGCTCCAATAAGTGTTTATTTGCAGTATTTCTTAGTTTCCCTTTTTTGGTATTTTGTCACACTATAAGTTAACAATAAAAACAATATATACAAAAATTTATTTCAGAATAGAACAAGAAAATATTTTACCCTTCCTTAGATGAATTAGTTAATTAATAATACTTATGAAACGATAATATATAATATACAAAATCTATTCATATGTATAAACTTTAAATTTCAATTATGTATTCTTAAATATGAAGAGGGTGAAATTAAAAACTTATATGACGGAATGGAATTAAAATTTATTCGACCTATTATTAGTAAAAAAATAAACTCAAATTACAGGATCTATCAGAGAAATTAAAGAAAATTGATATACGTACGTTTACCTGTAACTAAACTAACTTAATTTTTTTGGCATTCACTGGCATCTTTAAATAATAGAATTGATAAAGCAAAATGTAAGTTTCTTAAAGGAATACAGATTTTATTGATACAATAGGGAAGTTAAAAATGTGTATTTGTTTAAATTTTAGCTGATAAAGAATTTTAGCGTCATGTTCAACAGTTAAAAATTTTAGGCATAACTTGATTCAGTGAATAAAGTCATGTAATTATGACATAGACGTAACATAATTATAAAACAATTAATGTACCTAATTATATGCGTTCGTCAATTTTATAACCTCGAAATTTGATAAACCACAGTAGCAGTTTTTTTGACAAAAATTGAATACACAATTAAATAGTTAGGTCATATCAAAATGTACCAGATTTTGTTCCCCATGTCCCATATACAGGCTGTCTACTATGTATCTCGCTTAATATACTACGCACATAAAAAACTTTAAATGTTTTTTGTTACATTTTTTAAGGCCTTTATGCTCGTAAAAACGAATTTGAGATCCATGTCCAAATTTGTCAGTAATCATAAAAAACCGGAAAAGTACCGAAAGTTTAGGGTCGTCTAACTTTTTTATTTTAAGAGATAGAAAAAACTTATTTTAATAAAATTTCATGGCAAAATTGATATCTTTCACCTGGTATAAACAGATTTTGGAACTATCGTTTGTAAATTGCAGCACCCTCTACGCGGGCAAAAAAAAATTGTCATCGAAGTAGGCTATATCCACCAAATGATTGCTTGTTCTTTCCTCTTTCATGCTATATACATGCCGCCTTTATCTCTTATATTTATTACATTTTTTATAATTGTCATCGAAGTAGGCTATATCCACCAAATGATTGCTTGTTCTTTCCTCTTTCATGCTATATACATGCCGCCTTTATGCCTTATATTTATTACATTTTTTATAATTTTGGTATCAAAAATGTAGGTTAATGTAGAAATTGTTTTAAATACTACAAATTTAATGAATATAATATACTTCTTTTAAGCAAAGAATCTGAAATATTTGGCACCCACCAGTTTACCATCATAGAAGTAAGATCCTATGATGTCGATATCAAGAATTCTAACCCAAACGCTTACTGAAAACCTCTGTTGAAATGCAGTTTCTCCGTGCCAAGGTAAATTACCATTAGTCGATTTGAAGTGAATGTTTCTATTAAAAAATCCATTGTTATAAAAATTAGACACATCTGACCTGCATATAAAAGGATATTCCCTCTTTCTTTCTTGTCACCACCTACAGAACCCTAATTTCCTCGGTTTATCTTCTTCCCTCAAGTGATGCACTTTTTNTTTATATTTGGCGTGTTTAAAACAATTTCTACATTGACATAAGCAACACGAACATTTTTATATTTTTTTATATGAAAATCATAAAAAATGTAATAAATATAAAAGATAAAGGCGACGTGTGGTATATCGCATGAAAGAGGAAAAAACAAGCAATTATTTTGTAGCCATAGTCTACTTCGATGGCAATTTTTTTTTTGCCCGTGTTGGGGGCGCAGCAATTTACGTACGATAGTTCCAAAATCTGTTTATACCAGGTGAAAGATGTCAATTTTTTATATATTCTCACAAAGTTGGCCATGGATCTCAAATTTGTTTTTACGAGCATAAAGGCCTCAAAAAATGCAACAAAAAACATATAAAGATTTTTGACGTGCGTCGTACATTAAGCGTGATACATAGGAGTGGCCCTTTTATAGTAGATAGCCTGTATATAGAGTGTGTCCACGGATTGAGTGCATATAGGGTGTAAAGACAAAAAATTTTCGAATTGAAATATAAGCGGCAGCCATTTGTGCTAAGTTATATGACCTAGAATGCACATCGCGTTACATTGATTTGAAATTATTTTATTTATTATTTCTTGAATTTACAAATAAATAAATTATGGAGGGTTGATAGTTACATCCAATAATCCTGTACATACATACAGGGTATCCCACGATGACGAGACATTAGACATATTTCAGAGACTACTTCGATTTTTATTTTGAAAATTTGGGCAATAGTGTTTTCGGACATGCCCCTCTTAACTAAAATAATAGCGTCCACCTAACACTTCCAGTTATACCGGAAGTTGGCGTCATCTTTGTTATTTTAAATGGAGCACCCTGTATATTTTGCTATTTCAGATTCTACGTCAATTTACGAACGAAGGTTTCCTATTCTTAAATTCGTTTTTGATATATTTAATTTTTTTCAAAAAAAAATAAATAAAAGAGCACTGCCTAATTCAAAAGGATGTGTATTTTACAATATTAAAGTTAAAGCGACAAAATTTATAGGGGGCATAAATAAAACTCTAAGCTTCCTTGGCATAATTTCACAATGATTCATACAGGGTGGTAGAAATTTAATGCCGAATTTAGTCAATTTTAAACCATCTTAACTTTTTTTTTTAAATGGAACACCTTGTATATTTTTGCGCAACCTGATGAACAATTTTGTTCTCTTTCGAATGGTATAATGGTTCCCTATACCTGCCTCTTCTGGTTTTTAAGGTATTCGTGCAGTCAACGGATATCGCATAATTTCTTGCGAGGATGGCTGTGAAATTTTTAGTAAAACTAACGTCTCGTCGCCGTAACTTAACTTAAAAATGTATCTCCTAGCAAAATCTGTTCAACATTTTCCAATTAAATATATGTCAAATTTTCAACAAAAAAATTGCCGTGTTTTCGATTTTTGCAAGAAACCTAATGGCGCCAAAATGTTCAAAAATAGCTTAATTCTTTAGGGTTTTAAATTTAGAAAAATTGTCTTTGAACTAGATACCACATAAAGCAAAATTACAGCTTTCTGTCTACATTAACGATCACACCGTATATGCGCACATTAAACATTTAATATTTCCCCTGATTTTTAAATTAGAGCACGATAAAATTAGTCCCATAAAATTCAATAGCAGTTCTCGATTAGAATGACATTTGTCCCAGATTTGTTTGATGGACACTCGACGTGGGTAGGTCTAAATCTAAAGGGCTGAAACGATCCATTTATAATTCACTTTTGAAAAGAAACGACGTTTTGAGACATTCATTAGCGCCAAAGCACGACGCTGAATTATTTATCAAAATCAATTTTCCAGACGCACGCAATCGTTTCACTTGCTGAAATAGATCATTTAGTAGGCCGCTTTATAAATATATTAAGTTGCAGATGACTATTTGTTAAAACGATTATACAGGGCGTATTTAAGTGAACACATACTTTCAGATAATCTTGAAGCTTCCTTTCAAGTGGAATTAACAAATGTTAATATAACAAAAATATATTTAAACACTAAGCTTTTATATACAAACAAAAACATTTGTTAAAACTGTTGAAAATGACTAGATTATAATGTAAGCTATTCTTTAATCAATCAATGTTTGCCTGTTTTACTATATTTTTTTGAACGTATATTTTGTTATTAGCTCTTCTATTGTTTAATTCAAAAAATTAATAATTATTATTATTATTCACATAATTTACGTTGAACGTCTACAAAAAATGAAGATTTCAGCAAATAACCCAATTTGATTGCTTTTATAAAACAAAAGCACATTGGCACAGTCAAAAAATTGTCGGTGTTTGTCAAGAAAATAAATCAAAAGGTTTCTTGTAGATGCACCAGATGATAGCTTTTTATTGATGAAGGTGCGTTTTTGTTAATAATTCTATACGTTTTTCTATTCAATTATTGTTTAATATTTAGGTGGTTGCTGATTTTGCTGTCTCTGGTGGTTGCAGATATGACGTTAGAAGAAAAATAGGAACCAGAATAATACTACTGGTTCATCTTCCATTCACAAAAACTCATAACTGAAAATACCCAAATTTGCGTGTGCAAAAAACAACAACTAGCCGACTATTTCTCAACTTTCGACAAGGAAAATCTAGCTTCCAACCGGCATTCACACTTTCGGAAAAATACCTACAGATATTGCCAGATTCCTTATAAATTATTAAATTAATTAGAAAATCCAAAAACATATACCGCTCATTCATCTTGAAGATCAGCAGCTACTTCTTTAATTTATTGTGGCACAGAAAATCACTACTTTGAAGTGTGTTGGAAGTTGCAAAAGCGGTAAAGTAGGTGAAGGATATACCGAAGATTCTCTTCAACATAAAATCAAGATTGAGATGAAAATTTTTAACATCAAAAATGCCTATGCTGCCTTCACTATAGCTTGTTTTACTGTTACTGCTGATGCTACGTTATGTACTACTTGTTTTACGGTTGCAGTAGCAAATATCAACAGACTGAATCCTCACAAAGAAAATGAGCCCCTTTCCAATTTCACAATGCGATTTTTAGTTTTAAAGGGAGCATTTATATGCGCAATTTTTTGTCCAACATTTTGGAAAATCTAAGCAAGTTAGAAACAATATCTTTTCACTGTAGCAATTATACACCGTGTCCACCTAGTGCGCGTAAGTCCAATATCTAGGTTAATAAAAGATATAACTTAATTTTTTTTTCTACAGAGCTGCCTACTTTCCCGAGCTGCACAAAATG